CGGGTGCCTTCTGATGTACATGATCCTGCCTGAACCACAAACCAGAGATCATTATTGGCTTCCCATTATTGGGGTTGCGCTGGTTTGCCTTCCATGGATGTTCTGGTTCCTCACATTCGTATACAGATTCATTTCTCGGCGCTCTGGATCTAGGTTTGGCGTTGGCAATGCCGGAGGAGCTGGTGGTGCAAAAAATATTAATACAGCTGCAGCTGCAAATGTACGGCCCGGCACGGATACGGCTACACCCGCTGATAAGTCTTCAGGGGGTGAAACCGGTGCGATGGTAGCTGGAGAGATAGAATTAGGAAGTTTCAAGGATGGAAAGCGAAGGGTATCTTCGTTAAGCCGCACTTCGTCAAGCATCAATGTATCTAATCATTCTCATGAGAGTGAAATGCCTCTGGCCACATCAATGGCATCTTGATATCTAATTAATTATTATAAGCAATGCACATGAGCTTCAAGAGCTTCATCTTTGAGAAACATTAATGCCCTTAACTAGGGCAAAAACAATGGTCACTATATCAACCATAGAGAAGAACTTTAATAGTTAGCAGCACCCAACAATATTAATATGTTATCTGCTTTAAAAATGTTGTAGATTTCTCTTTCGGGTCTGAGAGGAGATTTTTCCATCCCCAAGAATCACATCTTTTCTCATATTCAATCTCAAGTTTCAGCCGTGTGCGTTTTTTTTGTTCTCAATGTTCAGCTCTGCCAAAAATATTTATTCAATAATGTTACTTTTATCACATTTTCATACCGCATTCTCATACCACCGTAGGTGGCAGCTGAGATGGAGAACCACATCAATATTTGAATATTTGATTCTTTTTATCCTTTATTGATTGGAAAAAAAAGAAAAGAAAAAGGAAACAGAAAACCTAACCAAAACCCAGCCAACATGCAATATGCAAAGAAAAAGCAACTAGCAAGTTTCATACTTGCATATTCAAACTGATTCAGAAAAAGAAAAAATATTCAAGAATAAAAGCAAACTAGCAAGTTCCAAACTTGCAGATAGAAAATAAAAATCAAATTATTAAGGAGTAAAAGCGTCTGACCTATCTTTTCATACTTGCAGTTGCAGATTGTAACTGATTCAGTAAATAATTAAATGGTAAATTGAGCTTAGACCCATAAAATTCATTTTAAATCACCTACAACCCTTCCCTTTAGTTTTCTATTTAAAATACCCAATTTTTTCAAGTAATACCTGATGACTAGGATCCAACTAAGCAAGTTACCTAATATAACTTAAAATCTGATTTATTGTATTTTTTAGATTCCCAAACTACCCCTATTTATAAGTTAATGTTTTATGGGGGGTGTAACTAATGACACACGTTGAATTTGGAAAGATCTCCAAACGGTTGTAATGGATGTCGGAATTAATTTAGAAACTTATTCAAAATTAAATATTAAATTCAGCATTAATGTATTAGTAATCTATAGGTGATTAACGTTTTGTTTGTTTAATAAAAAAATTATGTTGTTTTCCTTTTATGAATTATACGACTAGTAATCCATTTTATTATAGTTTTATGAATAATAGTGTACATTTTAATTATGTTGAAAAATAATTTGATAATCTATTTATTGTTTGTTTTTTGAAAAACATTTTTTTTAAATGAACCTATTTTTTCTCTAAATAAAGCACCTATTACTTGTTTTATGAAAAATAATTTGATCATCTTTTTATTGTTTGTTTTATGAAAATAATTTTTTTTAAATGAACCTATTTTTTCTCTCCAAATAATGAACCTATTTTTTTTCTCTAATAATGTACCTAGTATAATGAACCTATTTTCAATTATACAACGTACCTATTTTCTATAATTTACCTAGTATATTGAACCAATTTTCAATTGAAAAAATGTGCATAAATTTTAATTATACAATGTACCAATTTTCTTTAAATAATTGTGTACCTATTTTTAATTTATGAAAAATGTACGGAATTTCGATTACAAAGTAACTGACCTAGTTTTTTAAAATTTTTTTGGTAAATAATATACCTATATTTTTATATGTATATATTTATATTTATATTTTTCATATGTACATTATTGGATATGTAATTTACATTTTCTTTTAGTTTGCAATTTTTGGGGGCGATATGTTAGAGGGAATGGCAACCAAAAGAAATGGGGTGATTGATATGCTATTAATAGGGAGTTTTAATTACAATTATGGAAGTTAATGAAATGTTTGGAATAAATTATAAATAAAATATGAAGTCTTATGGCAACGATGTAAAAACATAGGAATATTATGACCTCTTATATCCTACTGGTCATTTAAGTTTGAAATTGGGTTTTACACATAGATTTATAGAATGATGGGTATATGTCTAGGAAATAGAAATTGTAGAGACCTATATTAGACAAGCCCATAATTAAACTAATTGAAAAAAACAATCGATAATGACCACTAGTCATCAATGTAGGAGAATGAACATGAAAATAGAGCATACCAAAAAAA